ATAGTATGAAAAATACTCAAAGTTCATTGTGAAAACCAAAATACAAAACTGCACTCGTCTGGAAAAAAACTTGCTTTCACTTCACATGGGCTTCTGTCTTCTCCATTTAAAACATGGGAACCATTCAGCTTTAGTCATAGACGTACTAAAAAATTTTGATGGTCCCTTCCACCTCCCTCTTTATTTAATTTAAGAGTATTAACTTTTGGATTTTATTTATTTATTTATTTATTTTATGAATTTCATTAACTTAAATATAAGGGAAAATTGCAACAGTTGTTCATAACATTTTCATTTTTTGTAAACTTTACTCTAACATTCATTTTGTGCCAGCAAAAATCTCTAAGCTTTCATAAATATGCACTTGAAATCCATCTGAACGGAAATTGTCCAAAACATTGCCAATTGACCGGAAATATTTCTTAAATTATCTGCTACTTCGCTAGTTTTATTCAATGTTGATACTTTTTTGAACGTTGTTTTTCGACGGTTTTATTGGATGTTGATTACTTAATTTTTTCGGTCAATTGACCGTGTTTTGGACGGTTTCCGTCCAAGTGGACCTCAATTGCATATTTGTGAAAGGTTATGAATCTCCGTTGACACAAAATGAAGGTTAAGGTAAAGTTTGCAAAAAATAAAAATATTAGGGACTGCTACTACAATTTTCCCTAAATATAATAACTACATTATTATTTATTGTAAAACAACAATATAAGATTACTTTCATAATTACTCATCATCTCGAGGTAAACTAATGTAGGTCGAATGTCAATAGTATATTAGAGATATCTGATCCCTCCATTCACATGTTGAAGGTTCATTAAGAATCTTTAACCATCTTATTTAGTCCTTTAGGCCATCTTCGAGAACAAAAATTTGTTTGCTTATTCCACTAGTCCAAATGAATTATAAAATCGAATCTTAAATCTATCCACAGAGATTAATTATCTCTCTCGAGTAAATTAACCATATACATGCCCGAATTCACTGTATCATGTAAAAAATAACAAAATCAATTAAGATTACGTAAGCTATAAAAAGAATTTTTCGATCTCTCATAAAAACATATGTTACTTATTTGTACAAGCTACACAAATATACCTTCTCTCCGTCTCAATATTGTTCCTAAACCAAGCAGTTGGTGATCAATCAATTGTAAATAAACATTAAACCTAAGTTGTCTCCTTCATCCTGACAACAAATTATTTAGTTGCTCATAAATGTTGAATTCAAAATTAAAAGGAATGAAAATACCATTGTGTTCAATACCATGAATTAAAAAAGGAATCCAATATATTGTGGATCTTCTTCACGTGAATGCCAATTGTGGATCTTCAAACTCTTCTTTAATGATTGCAGATCTCGTGGTCAAATGATGAACTTTAACCTTCAAATCTCAATTTATAGCCACAAATCTTGATAATTGGTGTATGAATCTGTAATTTGCCTCAAGAATATGATCTATAACGTCTCCCTTTTGATTAGAATGAATTAATCGTATTTACAGACCTCGTTCTAGATCAGAAATCGAGTAACAAGTTGATAGGAGTCGAAAGTTGATTTGAATTACGAAATGTGCGAAGTTTTGCTCCATTTGGCTATTGCGATCGCTACTTTATCATTCGTGTGATCCTCCCTAACTTATTTGGCCATTGTTTAAACCAAACATGCCCTTGAGAACGCATTAATATATGTCCTTGAGATTGCAAGGGACAAGATCTTTCTTGTTCGTGCATTTTGATTTTTGAATTTGCTTAATTGTTAAACCAAAGTCCTTTGTTAATTGTTTGAGGTCCTTCAACTTTCAAACTTGATATCATGATCCCTGAATTCCAGTTTTCTTCCAAATTTTTTCCTTCTTGATCAAAACTCGATCATGTTTGTCGCTTCTCATCCAATACCAAATTTTCTTCTACAATAATCAATAAACACAAAATTAAATATATGCATAATTAAAGTACACCTAAAAGCCAATTTGATGGCACGTGTGTGTATAAATCAAATTTATCTCTTTTCTCCAACTCATTACATCAAATGAGCAGTGTTTACTATATTTCCTAATTTTTTAATATTCAACAATTAATTTATTTCAAATTTACTTAATTCCAATTCTATTACGACTAAAGTTACTAAATTAAAATTAATATTTAATTTATTAAAATATTTCAATTTATTGATAAAGAAAAATCATTACATTTAATACCACA